ACACACACACAAATAAATAAATAAATAAATAAAAAATTTAAAAAAAATAAAATAGTATTTCAAGGACTATTTTTATTTAAAAACAATATGCTATTTCAATCTCAGGCTGTTAAGATCATGACAGAAAACCACCTAAAATGGAACTAAGAGTTGTCAATTACGATCACGTGCTATTCCACTATGAAATTATCAGGCATTCATACAAATTTCAACTGAACTAAAAAGGTATTCCAAAGACTACATTTTCTTTAGATATGTGGTTTAATTCACTAGTTGCTAAACTGTGACCAGGAAAAACCATTTCTTAGGGAATTTTTTACTTTAAAAATTGGGTTCCCTGCCTCAAAATATTAGGTCATCTCATGTATCAACCCTAACAATGACATAATTTGAAAATAAGAAAACCTCCAAGGGCTACACTAATACCTAGACCAAGAACCTAAGACAAAATAAGCAACCATAAAAATGATGTAGTTATGAAGTAACTATTATGTAATACAGTCTAACATGGTGTAATGGCACACACCTATAACCCTACCAGGAGAGGAGCTGAGATAGGAGGGTCACTGTAACTTTGAGGCGAGCCTGGGCTACAAAATGAGACACTGTCTCTCTCTCAAAAAAAGAAAAAAAAATTATGGGCAGAAGTAATAGCAGAAAACTTCCCAAATATGAGGAAACAATCTGATATTCAGGTAACTAAAGCATACAGAACACCAAGTAACATCAACCCAATTAAAAACACACCGAGACATATAATAGTCAAAATCCCAGAAATTCAGCACGAGAGTAATATACTGAAAGCTGCTAGAGAAAAGAAGCAGATCACGTTCAAAGGAAAACCCATCAGAATTACAGCCCACTTCTCTTCACAAACAGGAAGGCAAGAAGAGCATGGAGCAGAGTACTTCAAGTCCTCTATGAAAACAAATTCCAGCCCAGACTACTATACCCTGCAAAATTCTCTTTCAAGTTTGATGGAGAAGTGAAATACTTTCATGAAAAAGAACAGCTAAAGAATTTCATGATTGACAAAGCCAACCCTACACAGGCTACTGAAAGATGTTCTAGAGAGGGACCAAAATGATCAGAATTCCATGAATAAGATCAGAAACAACCAACTAAATAGGGCAAGCAATTAAACACAGGAGAAAAAGGAGTAAACGACAACAGGTAAATAACATATCAATCTTAAGTCAATACATCTCAATTCTAACCATCAATGTAAATGGACTCAATTCACCAATTAAGAGAAAAAGTCTGGCACAATGGATTAGGAAACAAAACCCAACAATATGTTGTATAC